CTTTGTTGTTTTTGTAAACAAATGTGAATAAATATTGCTGCATTATACGATTATATGAGTACTGTGTCATTAACCGTGGTATGAAATTCAATTTCTAGGTAATGCAATGTGTGTGTAATTTGCCCTCTACTAATGTTATTCACATCTATTTATTTCGTCACAAGTATCCTGCTTTTTGTCTTAGCAGACAAGAAAATAAATCATCCATCGGTGTATGCGGAATGCTTTCATAATCACATTTAACCTACTGTTTTCAGAAATGTGTCTCGATCCATCATTTTACAAGGAATATAATGTGACACAAGGGTCTCCAGATCCTTCCGTTCCTCTATTTTTAATTTGCGATTGGTGTACCACATTGGTAATTTTAGTTGGAAAAAAATAATTTTGTCTGTATTTGTAACACCACGTTTTGTTTTTCTTGCGAGACCAAAATTTTATTTGCCTTTTTCTAGATTCTACCTTCATAATTCTCATGTCTATTGGCCTAACAGCACATTTGATTATTAATGTTCTTACGTTGTGGCCAAATTGTGGTAAAGTAGATAAAGTGAACAATTAATTGCAACTGATCATCAAAATGTTTATTACTTAGGCCATTGCCCCAAGGCTGGGCCTGTAGGCAGAATAAGGAATCTAAAAGCTTTCAAGGGCTCTCCAGAGTAAAGTACCGCGTCTCTTCCGATGAAGAATACACTGACCAAGCTGTTGAGCGTTCTTCACAAACCATCTTGTTTAGCAATCTGAACGACCATTCATTAAAAAAGGTAATTTTAGTGGTGTGCATGGTTCTTCATATTTTGATATTTATATACTTTCCCTATTCTGAACTTATAATTCTTTTACAGTGTGGGTTCGTCAATGTGTGCAATGATTAATTTGCTTGAAGGTATTTGAAACTTAGATTAACGCTAAACTAAGATAAAGGTATTTCATCAGTACAATTAAGTTTTGATCCTGGGTTAGTTTAGCTTGTCAAATATCTAAATCTTAGTTTATCAAGTTCATTCAAGCTAAGGTTAATTTACACCTTATCGTAAGGTCGTAGTCTAAATTTCACCACCTTTGGTGCATTTGTTGCTAGGTCTTCAAATTCCCAGTAGAAATTTGAGACAAAAGCAATCATTGTTGCAATGTTGAGGCGTTGATGTGTACGCCCTACCTTACCTACTTTTGCAGCCCCTGACAGTGCTATCTCACCCAAAACCATCACATTGCCATCAACGAAGTTTTCGTAAAAGGTGGGTTTAGTTGCAAAGTTTTTTTCTTTATAATTTTTCCTTATTTTGTATGGGAAATTTAGTCCTCATTTCGTACGTGTCTGTAAGCTGGTCACCAAAACTGACGACATAAATAGTAAATGCCATAGTCTATCTGTATGAATATGTTTCACTGGATACCAAATTGTTCTGACAGTTTTTAAATTTTTTAAAACTTATTTTTTGGTAGTTGATACCTTTTGTAAGTGTAATCTAATGACAGGCAAAAGCTAAAAACACCTCAACTATGAGAGCAACATACAAAAGCTGCAAAATTTCTTCTTGGAATTTTTCTTGTACCCCATCCTCAGTAGTCCTAGCAGGGAACTTTGTTAGTTTAAGTTGTAAACACTATTTTTATGCTTCTTGGTCTCTTAAAAATAAATGGAGCATAAATCGGCCATGTCAGTTTCTTCATTTTCTTCACAATCAGGCTTTTTTGTTATTTGAAGAACCGTTAAGCCTAGCTAGGGGGTTTGTTTGTGCTTTTCGTTAAAGTGCATGGATAGTAGAAACTCTTCGTTCATCAAACAGAACTCACCTATTTGCTATTTTAGACTTAAGGTTGAGGATGCCCTTGAAGATATTATTCGTCAGGCAAAAATTTGGTAAGTAGAAGTTCTTTCACTTGAGTTAGAACAAAAAATATAAGAATATTTATGGCTAACAAAGTTAAATGATGCACCAATTAATCACTCCTCACTTCGACGTGTTTTTCAGTAAGGAATAGAGACCTTAACTCACATTCTATTGCCTAAAAAATGTTTTGCATATCTTCATAATAAGCACGGATTCAAATATAATGTAATACTGATTTTCTCAAACTTACGACACCATCCTTAGTCTATTATTTGATTTGTAATTTGTTCCTCAACAGCCAATTATTTTTCTTGGTGAGCTCTTCTACCCTTAAATGACGGACAAGCGATCAACTGTTAACTGATACATTAAAAAGTAATTAGTGATCAAACAAAATTAATGCGTTACTTTAATAAAATGTCATTTAAGAGAACGCTGATAAGCCATCTGGAAATAGCAGCCCGACCCGGCAATCGTAATTTGTATAGTGCATCTATTTAAATGGTCACGGGACTAAAACATATAACTAAACATCTTTGTTCCCCTTGTATGATCACAGATATTTTTTGCATTCTTCGTATATATCGTCAACCGTCAAAAAATCATGGTGGGATGTTTCCGAATTCGGAGTTTTGGGTCGAAAATATTTAGACTTTATCCTATTTAACCACATGGTCTATAAACTCGTTCTTAATTTAATTATTCCAAATTACTATGCCTAAACATGTTAAATATGGTGACATCTTGACAAAAACTAATGTGATTTTCAGAATAATATTTGTCAAATTGCCTTAATTTCATCAAGAAAAGTCGATTTACACGTTGACTATTAAGTTGCTATAAAGTTGGATTATAATGTGTATGGTTAGGGTGATTGGTATTCTTAAAAACCAAAACCCCGTGACAGGTATTTTAGTGATCTATTTAAATACTTCAGTGACCCTATATTGTCAGTTATTTATAATTTTTTTCCTTGAAAAATAGCTATCCATTCTTTTCAGATTCGATATGGGAAATATAAAAATAAAGTGATTTTTATTTAATTTCTAATTTATCCCGTGATACTTGAAAATGATAAAGCTGGCATTGAATGATGCAGCGAAACAATTATTATGTCTGTAAATCCATTTCAAATAACCAGCTTCTATTTTTTGTGTGGCATGTATTGGTTTTATACGCGACCTTAATCTCTATCTATTTGGTGCCGCTGCTGATTCAACTTTGGCATTGTTTGGTCTGCTTCATTATTTGTGCATTTTAAATAAAAGACCTTCTTTTCGGAGCTAGGTTCCCTAAACCAATGTATTAAAAATTGCGTGGAATTTAATGGTTGTGAATCTTCGAATTTACACTAAAGAACATGAAAGACAATCCACATGTTATCTTTGAAAGACTTTACTTTGATTTGCTCGAATTCAAGGAACAGTTGCTGTTTAGGACTCATTCTCGTTTGTTGTGGCTTGACTCCACATGGTATAACCTGCTGTAAAACACCGATACTTAAGCGCCACATATTCAGACCAATGCTTGCTTTTAATTAGTGATAAAAGTGATTCAAACAATTCTGACTGCTACCGCCCCTGGCGGAGCGTTCGTGACTTTCCTCCAGGAACTTCCAGATGTGTGAGAAATTGGAAAGGTCAAAGCTGCTCCAATATCAAGGAAAGTCCTGCTTGGCCATCAGCAATTTGCTCAACTAGAACCCCTCATGAATCTCCTGAAAATATTTATGCACACAATGACCAATTCCAGGTTAGCTAATTTGTTTTTATAACTGCCTCACACCTAGTTGTAATCCTCCATGTGTTAACAACCCCTAAAATATTAACATGTTCCATGAAATGACGTATGGTGACATTTTGTCTTGCTTTCATTCAATTAATACCTTTATTTCGTTTTGCCGATATGAGTAAGCAAATTTTTCAAACTAAGTACTTAATTACAAAGTTAATACTTCCCGAGGCTTAAGTGATATCAAGTTAAGTTACCAAAGTGTCAAAAATGATTTAAGGGGTGATGTAACTCAGCAAGCAACACAGTTTTAATACTCTCCGACTATAATGTAGAGGATGCTTTACGAAGGCAGAGATTTATTTCCCCAACTAACATGTCTGCCTGTGTCACATGTGTGATGGTTTCAAAGGTAGACTTAGTTAAATCGTATCAATTTTTCTTAATGAAAAAGAAATTTTGCGTGTTGTGGAAAAGACGCATTAAAATACCATAAGTTTACATTTTTGCCAGGTTTAAGGTACACGGGTAAATGATTAATCTTCCTACTCAAATCAATCTAGCCATTATGAATACTCGCTATGTGTTTTAATGTGTTCATTTGCACTATTGGATTATGTAGCAATAATTTTAATTTTATACGGAAATGATTTTACAAAAATGCGTTAAAGCCGTGGAACGAATTTGAACGCAATCCGCTAGCTTAAATAAATTAAATGTTTGCTGATGTTAAATCAGTATAAATTGAAACCATACCTACTTATTAGTGCAAATTATGGCTAATTCCAGCAATAATAAAAGATTTGCCTTAATCGAAACGTTAATTACCATAACACATGCAAAGGATTTTGGAAAAGCATCTGCTATCTTTTGAAGATGAAATGTCTATTTTGCATTAAACCACGGTTTGAGTAAACGTTTTGCCACCTAAAACCCCATTAAATTATGCTTTTCTACACTTTAATTTCTTCCGGTCCCGACAGGTTTAGGCTAATGATAAACATAAATGGAGATCTGACTAATTATGGATTTCTTAAGAATTAGACTATCAAGCATGAAAGTAAACTTGAGTAATACAATTGCCCAACTATGCCGATTACGCAATTTCCGTGGACAATTTCGTGTGCGATTAATTTTTCTTCCTTTTAATAGCCCAGAGGTGGGTTTATGGAGTTAGGACGCTGAACTACTGTGGCATTTGCATTTTTCCTTTAATCAATAAATTCCGGATCAAGCTTCATGTGATTATTGTGTAAAATGACAGCAGTAATGTCAAATTTTAAAGATTTGCTTCTTGTGAAAGCCTATTTTCATTTGGACGTTCTAGTTTTACCCGTGTCATTTTTCGCCAAAAGACATATTAGAAGGACAGTGGGTAGCTTCCATTCACTACATATTATCACTATCCCCGCATGCGCCTTGTAGCAACCAATGTACCACCACGGCTTGCCTGCACTCTCCACAAATGTTCCCTTCTTGCCCGGATCACGAGAAAATAAGTATAATCAGACGCCGACCTCGTCTAAGGATTGCTTTGTGTCTTTTTGCAACCAGCGTGACGAGATCCCACCTAGATTTTGGCCATGGCCTCGTAATCAGGAGAGTCAAGTCCGGCACTTGGGAAAGCAGTTACTGGAACCAAATTGCGCCTCTGAAGTTTCGCAGTTAGTTGGTGGTTTTAAAGGCATTATTTCCGGTTATTCCAAAGTTATTCATCCGTATTTTTCACCGTAAGGAAGAATTTGTTGGTATCAAATATGTAGATGTTAATTTCACACATAATTTCATGTATCTCCACAAGATGTTCCATTACTTTGATATTTTGTACCTTGTTTACCTTCGCGATGTGTTCATATTAATTTAGACTACAACTTGCATACGGATGTAGTTTCATTAGGGCTCTAAGTTGAAAAATTGCTAGTGAAAGTTCTACAATTAATGGATTCCCCATATTCCCTTCATTGGTTATCAATTACTTGCTAGAAGCCTACTAAGATAACATTTCACTTGTGCAGGTCATTAACTTTGGGAGAAACTTAATTAGAGTGTGCATGCAATAATTACGTTAGAATTGTTCTTGTATTTCAGTCACCATCGACACGAAAGGTGTTCTGATCCAAACAGCTATCACCAGGAACCTCATCTTAACCAGCGGCTTACTCCGTACCTCAAAACCCAGACTCGCCTCGAAAACGTTCCTGGTCTTCTTTACTCTTTTCAGTCAGAAGATGGACAGATTTCGCCCGTTGCGTCTTCATCCAAAATATTTTCTTATCAAGGTTTAATACCCTGTTGCCCTGAACCAAGGAACCGAACATTAGAACCCTTAGTAAAACCTTTTAAAGGCGACTTATTGGCATGTCGCTTTGGATCATCGTCGGTGAGCAGCAGCAATTTAGTTCATGCTAACAAAGAGAATCTTCGACTTATTCGACAGGCAATTAACATGAGGAATTCCATACAACCCGAGACCGAAAGACTAAAAAACGCCAAGTCACCTGACTCATTCATTGATGAACTTACGAAAACGTGGTCTCCATCGCCTAAGGCGCGGACACCGTCACCCATCGCATCCCATCTTGGTGAGGTTATTCCCAGGAAAAATGGAGTCACTAAATCTGCAGCCATGCAAACTGAAAATACCCCCTTCGTAAGTTTGCCAGCCGAGCCGTTTGCTCAGTCTTTATGCAAAATGAATTTGGCGAGCCCGCCAGCCTTTTAGTCTGTCCCAACATGACCGAGTTCGACATGACTAAAACAGCAGTTTATGATAGGGACAGGAGTTGTAAACGAGTGGGTATGGCACAATGTTTAAATGTGCTCAGCAGATCCCGATATTGTGCATGCTGTCGAGCTTACAAGCGGCAATTTTTTACGTACACCTTCGAACTATTACTTTTATTTGGTGATATTTTATTCATTTAATCTAAAAGGCAACAAGTCAATTTTGCGTTCTCTGATGTCCATGACAAAATCATGTTTTATATTTTTTTTTCGCCTTCTGAAACGGTAGGCCAACACGTTTAGGAAAACTAAAGGAAATGAAGCCTCTGTTTATTTTGGTGCCGAAATTTGTTGACCCCGATTTTGCTTTTTCGTGGGCGTAAACGGCAGCGAGTGAACAGAAGTTTACAGGAATACACATTTGAGTATTTACATTGATATTCGGCATGGAATCGCTGGCCTGAAGGACCACTGAGCCCGACTGTGTTTGAACCATGATGGGAGCCTTGAATTAAAGATCCACAACACCACTTTCGGTGCCTACTAAATGAGCTCGTAAATTTGACCATTCAAGGACTTCGAAATACGTTCAATCCTATCCGATTTTTCAAATCACATGTCTAGGAAAAAATATGTACTTCCAAAAATGAAAACAGTGCAGCAAACGCGCTACGCAATCTCGAAAGCCAGCTTCCTTTTGTCACAATGTCAATGAACACTTGTCGATCGCTCACTTGATCATCAACAAAACTTACTCAAGTCCACCTGCGTAGCATTGCACTTTGAGCAAAAAGCTTTATTGTAACTTATTTTGTCTCACGTGCGCGACTGCCGGTATATCGAACATTATACCGGGTAATAGTTCTGAACTAAGCGCTTTTCGTAGTCACTCTGATTGTCATCTCAACTGAGATAACATACAGGCATATTTTTATGGAAACCGTGCCAAAAACAAGCCGTTATTGGGTTGGAGATCATTCTTATTAAAACGTGCGCGATAACCTGATTCCAAGTCACCGTAGCGGAAATGTAAACGTCTATTGATGGTCAAACGAATTGAAATTTTGTTGCCCCACGAAGTTTATAAATAAATGTACATACGACGATTCCTCATTTGTTTCTTAGTCCAACACTTCAGTTCAAACAGAGGACTATCTCTCCATTTGTTTAAATTGCAAGAAATACTCAACGTCACTTGACATATTCCACAATTCTTCTGCGAATTTCAATGGAGCTCTGGAAACTTCAGTGCCACGAAACTTCAACACGTCGACTCCTATTTTTCCTCTACAGTCCTTGCAAAATCGGTCCCTCGGGTATGATTCCAAATGTCTCTCGCCCGTCTATTTATCATCTAACTTGAGTGGCATTCACGTCGAGACAGGTGACCCTCTGGTTCAAACCTCAAAGAAAAATGAGCAACTTCTCTTCAAAAACTTGCACATCTCCATCCGCAATGAAGATTAGCCGCCTGTCCCCAAGCCATCACCACAAACTTGTTCACCAGCACATTTGATGTTTTTGTACCCTAATTCTAACGACCTATTAAGCTTTATAATCAAAACCCTCATTTAATGAATGGCTTTGAAGCTGGGCGACGACCCCACCCAGAAGGGTAAATTAGTTTTACTAGCTCACCTCGACACTCAGGGTTTGGAACTATATTTTTTGTACAATAAATATCCACATACGGGTGGTCTGCAGTGGAACAGGAATCCAATGAAGTTGATCTTTGAGTCAGCACTCGTGACATTTTAGAATTGGTACCGGGGAAGACGCTGCTTAAACTCCGCGTCCAATTTTTAATAATCGTGGTACATGTGATGACATGGCCCATACACAAACGGCGCAATTTTATCAAAAACGCACGAATACGTTAAAAGGCCTCAACAAAATAAGAATATAGAAGTAAAAATAAGCCATCATGAGAAGTGTAAATATGCGGTTCATAAAGGCGACGAAATCAGGAACGGGAAAATGCATTGGGGTAGAGGGGAAGAGGACAGAGGGGGCATGTGAAAGACGCAAGTTAATTCTGACTAAAACAATTAAGTTAGTGCTCTGCTGGGAGGTAGGACGACGGAGCGTGAGACTTTTTGTCCTTAATTTTATTCTTTTTCCCAACTTGCCCTGCCAGCACACCCAAAATGCCACCACGAGAAAATTGATTGTGACTAGACCGATAGTTTGGGGAGAGACTAGGATTGACTTGTGGGCGTGAAACGGAGGAAGTTTCATTTGCCGGACCCAGAAGCTGAAGAACAGCCACTTCTTTGTCCATCTTTGCATCCTGAACCGCCGAAACTGCAGACTTCACTGGAAAGCCCATTTCAGTCAGCTCCAAAATCATTGTAGCGAAATCCCATGCCTAGAAGTCAAAAGACTAGGGTATTTTTGGCGTTTTCTGTTGGTATTTCAGCATTAGACTATGACTACCACAAAACAGTCACCAACATTAACGCGATATTGAAAGTTCATGGCCAAGTTAGAAATTTAACTCTGCAAAAGTACTTAAACCGTTACCTAGTTTCTCTCACATCTAAACAAGCAGTAATTCAGCCATTTAGAAACCGAGAAGAGACAAATATCGCGTACTAATACCAGTTGCGGACAATGAAACAAAGAAACCCTATAAGCAATTTGCCACGATGGCGATCGATGCATTAATCACAGGTTACCTCAGAAAAGTACAGACTGCATAATCTTACTCGAAATCACTTGCTGATTATTGCAAGGCCAAGTGACAGATAATGACACCTTAATATAAAACAATATTGTCAACTCACTTTCAAACAATACCAAGATAAAACAAAGGGAATGACTTGACAAAACAAGACAATGCTGTGAGTACCAAATTGTAAAATGCGTTTTAAATTAACAAGCGATATGGTTAAAGCAGACCTAAGTAGCTGTGGGTGCCTAGACGAATTTGTTGAGCAGATACTGTTTACATTCTAGCACAGAAGATCGCTTGAATGTTCACCTTAACGAAATCACACAGCTAACAGTAATGTGTAACATCAAGAAAACACGCCGAAGGTGACGCTGCGAGGATTTTTTTCTGCATTTTGAACTCCACTGTTTCTGGACCTCGACTTGGGGTGGCCAATTCTTCTGGCACCCATGATGTGCAGACACTCGATACAACTCTATAGCAAAATTACGACACCTTATTTTTTTGGGATAACTTGAAGGATTTGTCAATTTTCACCTTTCACAATTTGGCGAGATAATCGCTTACCATCCCCGTCTAGAAAGAGATTAAGGCCAATACAGCCATTTCGAAAACACAGAGGTAAATACCATCACAGTTCTGGGCGACTACTGATACGATCGCAACCCTATTTAAGCGACAAACAATTGACCCACACACAATTCTTGGCAAAAACAGCACAATGTCGCAAACAACATGAGGCACAAGAAAATCCTACTATACCTTGATGCTTCCGCAGCACAGCTCATCCTTCTAAGCCAACCTTTTCACAAACACAAGGAAAAATACTGGAGTCCAGCACAATCACCCCTAGTGTAACTGAGGAGCACGCTGGGTCAAGAAACAGCAAAAAATAACTTCATACAGGCTGATTCAGTGTTACCCTTCAAAAATAAATCCACGAGCCTGAGAGAAATCATATCATCACTTGACAGAACAGGGTAACACGTTGAACTTAAGACACTTTTCGAGTAATCGTAGCCACATCTCGGAGGGGCAGACATTAACAAGTAAAATCAAATCAACCCAGACCAGTTATGGACAAAAAATGTGAGTATTGCTGGACGTTTTAAATATATATGCAGGTTTTTGAACTTAATGTCGCATTTGGAGGTCCGAATATTATGTTTATACAAGAACTTTAAAATGGTTTTAAATACCGTTGCCCGTTGAATCGCATGACTTGTGGATTCACCGGAACCCAATGCTGGAGTATGCTTACCTTTCCCAAGTCTGTTGGTGAGAAAAGAACTGCGGCCCTACCAACTTCCTCCGGAACGCCTTTCTCTTCAAGTTCGGTCCAATTACAAAGCTGCGTAATTAAAGTATCCTCATCACATTCATCTGAACAGAAAATAATACATAAGGAAAAAGGAACATGGGATGACGAAACGGCACTTTTTTTTCAGATTTCGAATAAGTAGCAGCCTGCTCATGATTAATCCAGCACCTATTCTTTAGTCGCGCGCTGTGTGGTTTTAACTGCTGTTGTCCAACTGCTTTGCCATTGAACTTGATGCCAGTTTAAATCTGAAACATATCAAGCTTGAAAGCTGACTTCGAGTCATGGGACCGTTTGAAAACGCTGTGTAGCGCCTTTTTGAAAACATAGTTAATCATGCGACTAAAATATAGTCGTGTTTTGTAGTAGATAATGCAGGATAAGTGCTTTTTAAGACTTAGGACCGATTACAAGGCCGTGCGAAATGCCCCTATGGCTTGTAATCATTTTTGAACAAATATGTATTGGTCAGAAGACATATCAAAGAGTGGTTTAGCAAAACGAAGACGATGATTGGACTTGATCGATTCAGAAAAGAAAAAGTATTTGAGAAACTCATTTTTCACCAGTTCCGTCGTTTTATCATTATTCGTAGTTTATGGACGACGGAGTTCACATCATTTAATAAAAAAGTGAGCAACTTAATGTAGAATGAATTTTCATCATGAGCGTTCCCATTAGACAATGCAGTAAATATGTATATAGCTCTAACCGGTTATGGTCGAAGTACATTTAACCAGCGCGTCATAAAATTATATGGGCTAGACCCGACAATTGAGTGTGAGAACAGAAGCGTTAAAAAACACACGTGTATCTCGGACACCAGCGTCATGCAGAGCGATTATTTTACGTCGTCTGAAGCCCATCTTCAGCAGGCGGAGAACAGTGGGAGGGTCTGTGTCAACAGCTTCACTAGGAGTTTCGTCTCGGGCAGAGGAAACTAGTGAATCTGTGTTCCCTCCACAAGTCGGAGAAATTGGCGAAAGAAGAAAGTGATGTGGTGGTGTCGGCAGTTTGACCGAGGTTTTCTAGATTTTTTTGAAACATAAAAGACAGGATACTGAATAAAGAAAAATATTCAGACAAAGAAAAAGAGACCTAGACTTTACAAGACTCCCCTGTCTACGGATTCTCCTACATGGATATTTAGTGACTGCACTAAACGCCAATATCAGCCTGAATTCGAATAGAACGCCACGGGGTAACAGAATAGTCACTTTGCCGACACGACCACATAGATGTTGGCACCCCTCCCTACCTTACTTTTTTTTAAATAGTGGTTGCAGTTTCTGCAATCAGAGTAGAATACCAGTCGGGTGTCCCAAGATTGGAAATAAGCCAACTTTATACTGGTAACCAAAAGTTGGTGGCTTTAATTAATGTAACATAACCTTAGCCGTGTATCGCAGTGAAATAACTGGTTCGAGACATGCAAACTGGAGAATCGTAGTGACCGACTCTAATGTAGATAGTGAGTCTAAAGTGAAATACGACAAACTAACATGCCGATAGTTGATCGAAATTTATAAAACGTTACTCCATAGATTACGTTACACTGAGCCGTATAATTATGGCCATCTCAGAAGAGTGATATAGTTGCCATAAGTAAATATTAAAGGCAACTAAGAGGAACTAATAGATAAATCTTATGTCGAATTTTAAAAGATGAGTTGAGAAAAATGCTTGGTAAAAAACAGTTCGTTAATAGCCCAGTGATTATAGCGCTAATTTCACGTTTTCGATATTCCAATAACTGTATTTTCAGTGTGAAAGCAACCCAAAAAATAGTTTAGGTGATAGGTACCGATTACAAATCCTCCTTAAAAGTGATCTACCTGTTGCATGCTTGATGACTGATTTTCCTCAGGCTGTCCTAATTGGACTCTTTCTTCATGGATCGCGGAGTTAGTGGGGCTGTTCTCCCGCGGTGATGGATCTTTTGAACCCACTTTTTTGTCAATGTTTGAACAATGAGAGGTGATGAAATCATCTAATGATGGATTTACTTCTTTAATTTCAGCATTCACAACTTGTACGAGATTCGTTTGCGAACCGGGTTCAGACAAAGATGTGGCTGTCAGAGGATTTTCATCAACAGATAATCGAGGAAAGTTAATGTTCTTTAGACTGCTGAACGCTGACTGTTGCTTGGTGGTATGGCTTGAGGAACAAGGAGCCGACACTGACGCCAGTACATCTCGAAGTTCCTCAAGGTCATTTATGGTTCCAAGTTCAGCAACAACAAACGGGTCATCCCGTGGCCCCTGGGCCTCAAAATCACGTACTAGTGACAATTCTACAGCGGGTGGTAACTGATGCGAGATAACATCTTCTACAGTGCCATCAGTTTTTTCCGGTTCCAGAACGTCAAAATTGGGCGAAAAATGCTTCAATGACTTCGAGTTCTTTAACGATTCTTTGGAGTCGTCGCGACGCCACATTCTTCCGGTTTCGCTTAGTTTAAACCTTTCTGAGGCCTCATTGGCCTTTAATACTTCTCGTTCAAAAGTGAAATCATACTAAAATGAACAATATCGGAACAAGCTAAGACAGAAACCAAGTAATCTAAATTTGAGCCCGTTATTTACACATCAACAGCCGAAAATCCAGTAAACTATGAAGGCAGCACAAAGTACGTAACCCACATGGACTCCATAAAGCAGACACCAAGTCATGCTGTACTGACATTGAGTTAGGTATAACTGGCCCAAAGTAATCAAAACAAAGGCCATATTATTGGAGAAAAAACATTCGAAACATAGAACTAGCTACACAACTCAAAACTACTTCACCCATTTGTTATAGAAGCTAAATTCAATTAAACTAAAAACATTGCTACTAAATTAAATGGCTTGGAGAAAGTGATCTACAAGCCGGATATTGAGGTATAGTTCCCATGTGGTTTCTGTCTATTATTTTGATACCATTACTTCTGGTGTGGGCTAAAAGCAATTAGTGGCAGAATTTAAACAAGGTGATTGATACAAAGAATAAACTAGGGAAAAGCCAAGGGGATTTATGAATTAAAACTACGATAACCACCTAAGAAAAAATTACACTATCTGTACTGGAATTGGATGTTCATTGGGATACAAACGACACAAGAAAACATACAATTAGTGGTTTTACAATAAAACTAAATGTAAACCAAAAATGTAAATGTTTACGAAGAGTTACCGTGCATAAGTCAGTAAGGCGTTGCAGATTGGTAATTCTAGTCGGAACATCAGGGACAGCTATAACTTTATCCCTTATTAAAAACTCGACACCCAATAGCATAGCAGATCCCCATGGAATGTCTTTTGAAAAGTTATTCCGAGCCATGTATAGACAAAAATAAAGATTGAATAACACAAAATCCTTGGGATGACCGCAAAGAATAAATAGACACTAAAACAACAACGGCTGCAACTTCATGATTGCTTAATCGAGTTTTGTCGTAATCATCATTAAAAATGCTGCTTTAAAATGGATTTTGGATTTTAAAAATTATGGTTAAAATGCATTAAATTCGAGTTTATCCTTTGAGTTAATTGAATCCAGAAATTTATCCATTTACTATAACTAAAAAATGAGTTAATATTATGTTGAACCTTTAGAAGTATAATAAGCAGCTTGCCCTAAAATATGAAACACTAGATAATCTCTAGTGTGAAAGAAATGCTTTTGCTCCTAAATGTGACCAAATAACCATGCCTTAGCAACCTACACTGTTGACGTTCGTAGAAACAACGCTTAACATCAAAATACACTAATAACCCTTTTAAACATTATATCCAAGCCGACGTATGCAAAATTTAACAAAAAGCAGGCTATCATTCCTTTAATGATTTCTACTCTTCAGAAATACAGAATGGAATGTCACAGCCAATATGCAACAACATTGACTCATCGTAAAGTATACTCATGCTGTAGCCCAGCTGTATGGTTTTTACCTACATCTAAACTGTCATGTAGCTTTAAATGCAAATGCAGCTAAAAAACTTGCAAAACTTTAAATAACTGAGTGTCCACACGAGTAGAATTAGCAGCAACGATGATCTATTCAGAGAGGTGTGTAAATAAGTAGGTCCGAATGACTGTGATGATGTTTGGAAATCAGGGCCGGTGCCCCTCAGTCTTTTAACAAACGTGCGGTGACGGCAAAACAGTAACATGAATCTTGATAATGAGTTTTTACCTCGATGTCATGTAAAAAACACTTCTTTCTATTTCCTAGCTTGTTGCTGCGAGGAGGCTACGACACTTCATGATTTTTTATTAAACAATGAATTCCATACACACGAAGGGTGGCGAGAAGTGGACGATTAGGCTACTAAAACTAGTAATATAACTACCACTCATGCTTAATGTAGTGTATGGTGAAGACTATATTTTGAAGTAAATCTATTCGGTAACGGACTTGCGTATTAGCCTCTAATTGACGGTCTGCCGCAAATTAATCCAGCTTTATTTATCTCTTTTCAGAGCCTTGCAGCTGCCTCAGACTGGCAATAAGGGCTGAATTGTTCTGATACCTGTGTTTCTGAAGTTAGTAAGTTGCTTTCAATCACTTGACTTTGTTCACTTTCTCAGTTATTACTTACCACGTTTTAAACCACGTTCGGCGTGCACCAAACAGAATAGTTTTAAAATGGCAAGGCTAAAATTCTCAGCTACTTGAAAATAAAAGAGGCTCAATGCCAAGCTTAGAACCAACATTTATTTTTCATTCAATGTCTTTACCGCACATTAGAAAGATAAGGGAACATTTAAATTATTCATCACCTACACTATTTGTAAATGGCATGCAAACCAAATTCGACAGCTTTTAACATACAACGGCTAATATTTTGTTTTTCGTTTTTGACCCACGAAATTGCTTTATAGCAGATAAAATATGAATGACACTTAGATGGCAAAGAAATTGACAAGTTGAGGAATAATCCATTTGGGTGATCTTTAAATAGCCAATCTTCTGACTCCACAGTTGGGACAAAACCTAGCGTTCGTGCTCGGGAATTTCGATCCACATTCTTGGCAGTAAAAACCTCTGTTTTGTTGTCGGGTCTCCAAACAATGTCGTTGTAATGACGATTCTGACTTCACAGTCGTATTTCTGGGAAAAGGAAACAGTCTTCAAGTCATCTTGCTTCCGAAAATGCAAAAAAGGGTACAGCAACGAACAAAGTCAACAATGAAAGTTGTGTAAAACCATCTTATATTTTCTTCACAGAAACCAACTTTTTTTCGTTTTTAAACACCACTTACGTCACTCTTACAGGGATTCCACTTGGTGCATTTATGCGATGATTACGTCCACCTAATTTACAGTTGCTTTCTAATATTTGTTCCCTATTTCCAATTCGATCGATGCGATCTCGATTAATTGGACTTTCACTTGGAATCGGATTAACCAATTTACTTGGCAGAAGAGCATTATCTCCAGTCGGTCTCAGGTTGGCGACCGATGAGATTTCTGGTCGCAAAGCCGTAGGCAGTCTCGAATCGAAACATTTTGGTCGGATATAGGATTTTTTCGCATTAGTTGCAAGTGGCGATTGAACCTGTGCCAAGTTCTTACTAAAGGCCTGAGCGTCTTTATAATGTTGATAAGTCCGACCAGTTCTCAAGGTGACCCCTTGGCCAGTAGAGGTAAGATTAGTCTGTGCTGAAGACAATGAATCGATGGGAATTTCTGGGGAACACCTTATACTACTTTTCTTTGTGTAAGTAGAAGACTGATGCATTTGTGGAGATACCTCGTCTCTTGAGGCGACAGATTGGGCTGATGGTGTACGGTGGGACTTTTGGCGAGGTAGAGGTAAGCTTCGAGGCAGTTCTGTTCCAAATCTATCGCTTTTTGGTGCGTCAGCATAATCCATTACTTGAAACTGAGAATCGTCAACGTCAAATGTGTTGTTGCAGGCATCTTCAGGCTCAGGTGACAAAGATGGAGAATGGGGTTTATCATACAGACAGCCTGCATTGAAATTTTCATACCTGCCACAATATTTAAGGCCAGCTTCAGAAGAGCTAGCTGCGGGTAAAACACTCCGACTTTGAGATTGTGGACGAGAAGGTGGCTAAAATGTGTAAGATTATGAATTCTTCAATGGCTTAACGAAAATTAGCAAACAAACACCAAACCTGACGGTTAATTCATGCCATAATAAAAGGTGTATCTGCTCCGCTTTGAACAAGATGGGGATTTTATTTTAACTTAAGGTCACATATTAAGCCTCACGAGTTCTGGAGCAATATATTATAAAAAGCAAGGGCTAATAAATAATAATGTTAACATGGAACAATACCCAGAGTTTGTCTGTACTTAGCAACAAAAGTGATAAGGATTTAACCTCTTTAATAATTTTTGCCGCGTTGTGATGGAGAAAGCATGAATACTAGTTTATCATGGCCTGGTAAAACTCAAAATTGAAATATAATTGTCTTGCATGACCTAATCATCTACTAGAAATGGACCTGGAATTCCCTTTAAAGTCATTATCTGGAAATCAGAAGATTTGAAAATCAATTTCGTCTAGAGCAATAGATTGATCAAAGTGGTCATAAATCATAATCTTCTGTAAAAAAACTCGTATTTGCCATCACAGCAGGGTAAATGATTAGTAACCTTTATAACCACGAAATATGTCGATATATTTATGATTTAAATAGCCCATAGAGCAGTCTCTGATCCCAGTTTTAGATGTGAGCTATCAATATTTATAAAACAATTTTGTTACAATTTAAGCTTTCACATAGCTCAAGTTATTGTCGAGAGTAAAGTTCGTACAATTACGCTATTTATCTTGCCTTTTTTGCTGGCGCCCCGACAGATGTAGGAGACCCACGATGACGAGTGGTGTTCGAGATGGCTCCTGCAAAGTGACATTCTTATTTACATCGGTGTATCCGTTTAAATTAATATGAATAATAAAGGTCCCAAATACTCTACTGCATGGGTTCATTCCCCCAATACGAACGTCTTTAACGTTCTATCTGTCAACCACTATTGAGTCAATTGAAAAGTCAGTTCATTTCTAGAGAAATCTCTCAAAAAGTGATTAGCATTCAATAAAATGCTGAAATAATTTATTTTGCTCTTTTTCAAATTAATACAAAAAGACTGTTCAACCAGAGAGTGAATTAAGTCATTGTGAACAGCAGCTTTCTTTGTTAAATATCAGTTAACATTTACCTTTTGTGTCAATAGCTATTGTAATTAAAAACAGCCATCGAATGATGAAGAAACCTGCCAGTTAGGTTATTAGCGTGGCTTTGCAAACTACCGGCGTTAGATCACAAAGCAGCACCGAAAGAATTTTGGGCCAAACTAACCAACCTACTCGCAAAATGGCTCAAGTAAATAGATTTCAAATGGTGCCAACAGAACTCATGATTGCCCATAAATACCGATATTTATAAGAGGCACCGTTAGATAATTTATAAAAGGGGCTGCATCTGCGAGTTATAACTTAGGTTATTGTTTCCAAATGCATTCACCTTACTCAAGGATACAAAAACTATCGTGAACTGGTTCAAGTGGTTTCCATTTGTGAAACTAAATAAACATTACGATCTGACGGGTTCTACGCTTAAACATGCGCTAAACCCCTATTTCGTCATGCTAGTACAAGGGCTTATAATTTAGAAAATGCCAAGCAATAGCCATATGAGTGCTAGACCATGTTGTATTCTTGAGCCATCTCTTTCCGACAAAATTTTTTTCCGATATTTTCCGTCTGAACCTGATTCTTCAATTTGTCATTCAGCAAACGTATACTTAGTCGTATACGTATGTTTAGTCTAAACTTCGACTGAGGGAAATTTCAAACCCAGACCAGCAAGTATTGCACAGACAAAACTCACCGTCCGTATTACCCTCCTTTGCAGAAGAAGTGGACTTTACTCGCTGCTGAGCTGTGGTCTTGTCCGACTGGTCAGCCTTTTGTTGATAGGCATTTATTTTTGAAGCACCGGGTTTTGGAATTGGCTAAGAAATTTTACAGAAGAAATGCACTAATATCTGCATCAGAAATCAAGTTTTCTTAGTTTTAGCCTAGCCTATAATGATGCTTTAGTTGTGCAGGTATAGGTTGCCAAAGCAACATGCTCAGTAACTAAATAAAGGGTCGCGAAGCAACCTAGTAAATAACATGGCAACATCCCTACTTTATTGTAATTCACCAGCTGTAGGAAAAGTTAGATTTTTGTTGAAATGTGAGTGAAATGGCAGCCTATTATCAGGTCGCAAAATTCGTTCATTTATTAAATTCTGTCATTATAATGTCTTCAAAAGATACCACAAAAGCATTTTTAGCAAAGTTGGAGTAAAGTAATGCAACTTGATAAAGTCGCCTTTTCAAACTGATAATTAATACGAAAGTAAAAAAATGCTTGGGCATAAACAACCCGAATATACAACAACTGCTCTTGGAGAGATTGCTGTTTGTAGTTAAATTGTTAAATGTTCGTGCTTAGTATTAATGACTAGCAATGCCTAGGGTCTGACATAGATCAGCCCAATCACGAGGAAAAAATTATGCAGTCAAAACGATGAGCTTGATAAATGAATTGACTTCATGTTTGACGAGAACTTCCAAAAATGCTCATAAACGCAGAATAAAACCTAATGACAGAGGTGTTGAAATTAAAAATAAAACTTTGGTGTTCTAGCGATGCTAAACTACAAATATTGCCAGATTGACTTATTAAAATACATGTACAATTAGAATAAAATATTTGAACGTGTATGAATGATGTTTTTCCTGCCTCTGATGGCCCTCCAAAGCTTTGAATCCTGTAAAACTTGTGTCTGTTTTCAGGATGTTAAGTTTATATAATTAAAACAAAAAACGGGTTCGAATTGTCGGGTCATTTGATTTTTGGTTTAATACACAAATGTCTCCTATTATTAGGCTACGTCGATAGTTGCAGTCAAAGCGCAATCAATTTAAACAAACGACTACGGATTAGAATAAAAGTTTCACCAGCTCCATTTTAAGATTGACCGATGCAGATATTAATTAAAAATATGAAGGCCACGTGTTCTTAGACCGAGGTGGAATGTAGGTGGCCTAGTTTTGACGACTACAGGAAAAGACTTTAGAAAATACAGTTAAGATATTTATGACAACAATGCGTTAAAACTAAACATTCATAGTCATAATGTGTGTGAGTTTTACATTTAACACCACATTAATGAAAACAGAAGCAGCATGGATTTGCTTTTCTCACCTGCTTTGTCGGTTTGTTTGCTGACCTTTTGATTCTATCTCGCTCCGATTTTTCCTTGCAAAAGGGAATATGGCGATCAGCAGCGCTAACATTAAATTTTCTATTGCAATATTCACATCGAACCAGATCTATAAAAAAACAATTTAAAGGTATATTAAAATAAATCAAAGCAGTCTGAAAGATTGATCCTAAAATTGTGCTGGAGATTTTTTATATAAAATCAAAACAAAATCAAACACTGACCTCATACTTGCCTCTCATAAGTTTCAGGCAAAGACGATTTCCCTTTATTGTGCTTACATTACCTCATCATGCAAGATGAAAAAGATGCTTAAAGTTTATTTAAACAGTGTAAAGGTTTTGTGGTTAAATAATTACTGTATTTCATTCAAAAGGCTACAGCGAAAATTAAAGTTAAGCAGTAGACCAAGATGATTAAAATTACAGAGAAGAATTTTAGGGTAATTTTAAAAATTGGCAAGTGCTGCACAAATTTTGCTTTATTTCTCAAAAAGACAACGAGACTCGCTGATTTGTGTTAGATAATTCTCTTTTTTGTCTTAAAACCCCTTTAGTAAATTATGAGAATTAATTGGTGGTTACATTAATATGAAACAATTAATTAACAGGAGTTGTTCTCACATTGGAATCTTCCGTGTTGCCATGTTAAGAACCCAAATATTTAAAACCTATAACACAATGATGAGAAATATGCTTTGCTGCTTCGTTTATTAAGTTAAACTAGGCATATTAAGGCCCACCAGACGGTTGTAGGACACTTGACTGAATAAGTGATCATGTTAAAACAATACCCATTTTAACTAAATTTGGGTTATTCTATAAGTATACAAAGCTCAGCTCTAAAGTAGGCGCCAAACCAATATGGAAAGCAACCTTTTAGAGATAAAACCCTGAATTACCGTGTTTAGGAAGTTACTAAGAGAAAGCTAATTACATATGATTCGGAGGACCTCAACAAGGGATGTAGTAAGATCGGTAATGCGTAACATTTATACGAAATACATTCTGCCCATTAGATTTAAGCCTCTACAACCCTTAAACACAGGATCTTATGAAAGCATTTCCTACATATCAAATGTTCTTTACGAGACATAATAAGTGCTTCTTTCGAATCAGACTATAAAATATAAAGTTATAATCTGAAATAAATCAGTACGGATTTTCGCCCCTGAAGACGTTCACAACTTCTAATTTGCGAATGACAAAAAACCGCATCCGATTATGGCGTTCATGTTTTTAAAATGCAACATCTTGAGTTAAGAACTTCAAAGCTAATGGTGTACCCTACCCAAATCAGCCGCGGTAGACGCTGGAGGAGGAGGAGGAGGTAAAGGACAACCTTTTGACAAAGATTGCTGGTATGCCTTTGCTGACCTTATTGTATTGATAAAATCCAGGTGCTTTGCACGCCAATTGTCACGCTTCTTTTCAGCCCTTATTAATCTTTCGTCCTTATTGGGTTCTCGAGGAACGACTTCGCCCGGTCTGATTGTTTTGTTCAGAGGAATACCTGTTCCAGCAGCCCTCATTTTCCCGCTATCAAAAATTTTTAGTTTTCTCTTTGACGCCTTTCTGCAAATATTTTCGTGTTTTGTCTAGAAGATTTTTGCAAACAAGTAAGCTCAACATACAATGATATCTGTTCTAAACTTTCTAGAACAAACGGTACAAGGAACAAGTTGAAAGTCTTCCATAAGTGGAAATTCTGTGCAGTTGGATATTAAAAGTAAAGCTCAACCTACCGTTCTGAGTATTTTCATCAAACTGCATTTTATGAAACCCCGACAGTGCAGATGATCCCAAAATCTTCAAATAAGGACAGTGTCAGCAAAATACCATCGTCAAAATGTTAAAAATTTTACTATATGGATACGTAATAATGGCAGTGTACAGAATCTAAGGCATGGTCTTAATAAACAAATCAGTGTTACGGTAAAATACCGGCCAACTAGGAAAATAACACCCTTCTTTTAAATAAACGGGTTCTTGAGAGTTGACAGAAAGCTACAACAGTGGAACAATAAAACAAATGTCTCTATGACATTTCAATGGCTGCTTTTTTTAAAGCACAGATTTATATAAGATCATTACTAAATGCAAAAAACAAACCCATTCCAATGGTGATCTTTTATAATCTTTTCTATTTAAACCAACTAGACATTTGTACCAGGTAGATGAAAATGCACACTTACACAAATTCATCTCAAAAAAGGACGATCATGAATAATTGTATTTGTAAAAGCATTTTTCGCCGAAACGTACCTCCTATTTTAAGTAAACACACAAGAAACCAGATACTCTAAATTATATTTTTTTAAACACAAAACCAAACATTAACCAGGTCCCTGTCCTAATTTAATTGATCGTATTCTTCGAGTCGGTTTATTTACATTGGACCACATTATTTTACTCAAAGTTATTCCCAGGTCAAATCAACCTAGCAGATTTAATTAATCAAGTACAATGGTGTCTAGGCGGCGCAAAAGCCATTTCTGTTTAAGTGTGTAACAAACAACTTCGTATGCCAACGTTCCAATGGTCTAAATGTCAGGCAAGTAAAATTTCGTCTTCTACTTTTTTAATAATATGTAAATTTTTCAAAAAGCTTGCAATTTCCTAAATATTATGTTATGTAAAACCCAAGCAAAAAGTGCTAGTTTTTGAAGTCAATGCAATTTGTCCTCTTCACGAATCTTCAACAGACTTCTGTTGAACCTAAACAAACTCTTTATTATTCTGGACGAAATGACATCACTTAAACTATTTAATGCACCGTCGCAGACCAGGTAAAATGTTTTCTTAAAATATGTACTATTAGTCAATTTATATGCAAGTCCTGTTCCAAAATCTTGAAAATAAATTTCGAAAACCTGTCAATTGTTTCATTTACGCCCTGAATCAGACAGAGTTAAGTTCATTTATGTAGTTAATGTTAACCTATACTGGATACAGTTTTAGTCAAAATCCCTGAAAGGCCTCATCTTTAGAAAATCAATATCAAGTTTGCTGAAAGAAGAGAAACAAATGGGATTATCACGGCGCCTCTCATTTCTTAAATCCTATTACAAATGGCTGCACTTTTTTTCAAAACATAGCTCGTGGAACTTTGGTTTTCGTTACATTTAATACAAGACCCAGCAGTACACCTGACGATTTAAAATTTTTTTACTCTGACTGCCTTTTTATCAATTAAATTACAACAACGGACAACATTCACAGCATTGACCATAGAGCACTCATGTCATCACTGATACAAATTCTTGTATTTCCTTATCTAAGTTGTGACTTACCGACGACCGATATCAGCTGAACTAATTATTTACCAGTTATCCACACAATTCTTTCTATTTTAATCTCATCAGAGATTGCATTCCCATTATTTTGCTATTCTGACTCATTCTCAAGCACCGCCGCCACCTACCAAGACACGCTGTCCCCTTCTTTACGCTCTCATCGCTTAAGAGGGCACGCCGGATCATGTACGCCTATGCGCACACATTATTCAGATGTTTTTATTCAAATAAATCCTACTGTAGTCTTTTGATCGAAACACCTTCCCAATTTAGAAGCATTCCTAGCTTTGTGCGTACACGAAGCCATCTAATTACCGGTTGTCATCGTCATCTCAGATGTTAATTGTCCTCCCGGGGACTATGCAGGTTGGAGCCAATACATCATACCGTTTTTGGCAACTCAAGAATAGTCATTCTTAATTTTTAAAAATGCAACCATCTATGTTGGCAGCCGGTCATCATACACCAATGTGCACCGACAGACCATTCAATTAAAAGAGCTCTGATGGGCCCAGGTATCACCTTGGTTTCACGCACTTGCCTTACCTCACACGCACTTTAGAATTACCACTTCAGGAGTACATAGGCGAAAAATATCTGCCAACTGCGCCCTCCGTCAAAACTGCCACTGAAGATGTCCTCACATTCTAATCGAATTCCCATGCATTGGGGCGACCTTTCCCATGACAATATTTGCATTTAATATGCAACATCTACCACCTGTTGAAGAGGAGCCTTACCCTCAAGATAACCCATATTTAGTAGACCTGAAGTGTATTACAAGCTATTGAAAAATATACTTTCCTTCAGAAGCGATTATGAAGCAGCTGTCATGTTTGCAGACACAAGGCCACCCATGAGACAGCCCAAAAGTAAACAAATCTAGTATCTGAATATGCAATGATTTAAATAGTTTTATAAGTATCAGCCTGTATGTTACGTTGTTAAATAAAAACTCAAAGTAAAACAGTAAAGTTAGTGCGTGCGTGCGCCTCTGAAATTGGTACCACAATATTAAAGACGTCCAATTGTTCACGGTTTGAATGAAAGAGCATTAGGTTCGCAGGCCGCTGGGCCGTGTAAAGTGGCTTGTTTAGCGACATCGCGTGAGGGTCAGCTGACGGGTGGACTTGACAGAGAGGATAAAGGGGCCCTCCTGGTGAGGCTCAAAGGTGGCCACTGTGATTTTGTATTTGCCTCCCGAGAGGCCCGCTAATTCCAACATGGTGTAGCCCCGACTGAAACATAAAGTCATATTTAACTACACCTATACGTTTAAATTCATTTTCAAGATATTTGCGACAGTCCAATCACAGGAAAGAAAAATCAGTGGCGCTTAATTGAAGCAGTGCCAAGGTGAACTACAATTGTAACCAAAATGTTCACAACAACGTGTTTTGAAAAATAACGGTCACGCGTAAAATCAGATCAAAATACATTGAATACATGAGCTAAAAATCTATTGCGAAATGGAAAAGTAATGTAAAAAGCCGAAATAAATGAATGTTCGTGTTCTCATTTTGTATACACGAAATTGAACTTTTGTAAAAATAAATGAACCACTGTATGTCTGCATTAAGTTACGCCTACGATCGTCATTGTTACTCAAAAATGTGTGAACAAAGACTGACGTGGTATCACAAGAAACTTTACACATTTTCACCAACACCAAAATGCTTGGGGAAAAAAATAAAAAAAGAGTAAACGAACCGATAGTTTCCTGTCGACGTCGAGCGAATGTGGTTGAGAGGTGAAGGGTTGTTTAGGACCTCGGCGTCCCAATTGAAACCTATGGCAAATTCTCGGGGACCCCGCATTTCTACAAGAACCTGGTTGTCAACTTCATTGTTCTGCCAGACTAGTTCGTAGCAAGGGTTGTCCCCGAAGTTGGGGTAATTCGGACAGCCTGCGGCCGTCTGACCTTTCCACTCCCCGTTGACCTGTCGAATTTGAATTCGATAACCAAAGCAACGAATAAAGTGAACATTAGCATGATTTGCCAAAATCTTGATCTAGTGCGACAACGGCTTTATTTGTTCCCAAATTGATTTTCTTTTTATCCTAAAACATAGGCATAGCTTTGTTTACGGTAGAATGCTAAACGACAGTGTGCGAAATTTAAGCTTATTTCATGAACATGAATAGGAGACGATACACTCAGGCATTTTGCAGCAGATAAGAACGTTTACTGTCCGGAAATAGTACCACCAATATTCTAAAAGGAATCTTTTAGCCTTTTTGAACTCAAATACAGGAACATGAGTTCTATTTCGGTTGGCAAACACCGATGTTTCTTCAATAAAGTTCAGATTGTTAATTTCATGCAAAAGTCACGCAAATTCGGGCAAAGCGCAGCACCTTAAGCACGTACTTGCAGAATAATCTCTGATTTGGTATAAGGATAGCGAACGGAGTACAAGCCAACCTAGGTAGCCTGAATGTAGTTGGTAAGTAGGTTCCAAACTAAACCTTGTATTTATCCATGAGACTGCGACTTAAAAGTAGACGAGACGCGAAACCAATGGGGACGCAAAGGAGTACAAGAGCACTGCTCAACCGTAAATGACCGGACCACTCAAAATGGACAGCACCTTACACAGTTCAGTGACACGAACACATGACGGGTGACATGTTACGTTTTTATCGAGGTTGTAATAAAACAGGTTGATTTGCGTTGCTTATTTCGTCTACCGACCCCCAGTTCATAGGTATTATAGTAAACAGGACCAACCGTTTTCGAAAAAGTATAGGGGTCAATGATTCGACCAAATTGGAGTGGTGCAGTGGAATATGCTCTCAGGGTGTATTGAATGGTGTTGTTTTTCTCATATTGGGACACTACGAGAGTATAGGTGACCGTGCCTGCCTCCTGGACCATTTGGATGAGACAATGGGGCGAGTTTATGCGAACGCTGTCCTTGAAAGGATTAGGGTCATTTGGATGGTAGACCTTTCGGCTTTTGATATTCTTGTAGACAACAACTCCAATGAATTCGTTGTTATGTGCAAAATCGTTCTAAATTGAAAAAAGAGTTGGTTTAGTGATACTAGTCTACTAGTGATCAAATGTCGAAAAACAGCAGCATGATAGTAGAAAGGCTTCAGGTGGGGTTGGTGATGAAGTCAATAAAACTGGACTTGCTTTTTTACCCCATTTAGCCTCTTTCAAATAGCACACAAAAAATGTAAACGAGTCAAAATGTTTGCTATTTCTAAGTTCTGTTCTATGAGTACGCGTTTGAAAGCCTAGTGAAACATCAAAAAGAAAGCACTAGTACACGCCATCATAATTTTATAAGGCTACGAATCCACCAGAACACTTATGCGGAAGTGTCGTGGCATTCAATGAGAAGTAAACCATACCCATATCTGTACTGAGGAAGATGAAACAGAAGCCGTGTCGGCATTATTAGGTACGAAAACTAGGATCTAATTTTCATTAATCCCTAGACAACGTAAATTTAAGACTATGGGGAGGGTGAAGGTAGCAGTAGTAGTTAAAGACTTTCGACTAAGATCAGGCTTTCTTCCAAAGAGTGGCCTGAGGATGAAGTAAAGAGGACAATTATCGTTACCTCAACAATCGATTATAATAAGAAAATTGCTTTTTCACATCTAAAATAAGAGGCTGTTTTAACTCTTAAGGGAAGTCACTTAGGCCTCTTTAAGACTCAATCTGTCGTGCACTGACAAAAGGTAGGCTAACACGTAACGCCAGTTAACAATAAATGATTATAAGCGAAAATTAAGCAACAGTACTATTCGATTGCAATTTCATGAGGTGGCAACAATGTTGGATGCTTCAGGTAATGTGATCGTCGTAAGCTGATTGCCAAGTTCTAATTAACTGGGAAACCCCTGTTTGTGCCATAATAAACTAAAGCTGTCCAAGACCTAGACTTTATGTGGTGATGATGCACTGGAGCAGCTGATAATTTGGACATGGTTGATTGGGAAATTAATGCTAAAAACTTGCATAAAAAAACAAACGTTACCTTGTTAGTTATATGTCGAGTGAGGAGTATCCAAACCGGAGCTTGAGATTTAGCCTGAACCTCCAGAGTGTACTGTGGATTGTTTGAAAATGAGTACATGTCTTTCTTTGGACCTTCAGAAGACGACCACTGGCTAAATATTCAAGGGAGGCAGTAATGGGATCGAGAAAAAAAGTAGACAACAGACACTGTAGCATTTTGGTGCATCTTGTTATCGGTGGGATTAATGCTTCAGAATGTGAGCTCCTTTACAATAACATTAGCCAGCAAGAAAACACTTGACTCAAGTCACGGTCCATCTACGTTTAATCCACCAATCAAACATAAACGGATTTGCAAAATTAAGGCTTTACATTCATGATTAATGTAAACTGACAAAAGTAAACTAAATAAATTGTATGTGAACCTAAAGTAGCGACTTATAGATCATTTGTCTATTCCTTTATCCTACATCAAATGAATACAGCATGACAATCCCCAAGGTTGCAATAACAAAGTCATTAACTACCTATGGACACACGTAGTGTAAGGGAAGAGCTCTGGATTCCAGTTGATGTAGAAGACGTCAAAGAAATGACAAAGGGATTTGTAATCTATCCAAAATACGCCATTGTCAGTGTAGCGGGCGCTATTCAGATCATAATTGAGCTTCTCCTGCAATTCAGGCGTCCAGTTCTTTGAATCCAACTCGGAAAAATTTCCTTTCCATCGTGTACGACTCCAAGGATTCTTAAGAAGTAGCAGGCGCGTATTCTAAACATATAAATTAGCAATGTTGACAGGCGCTGCTCATTAAACCTGCTGGAAATGAATAAACAGAAGAACGTAGATGTGGTAAAACAAGTTAGAAGAAGGTCTTCATAACCTTATTTTCTTTAAACCCCTTGTTAATTTACGTCTAATGGCACATGTACATAAATCTTGCGACCTGGGAGATTTTATGAGAAAACGTGTGGGCCCAACTTTTTTCTACACAAGACCGTATTCAAAACGTGTGAGCAAAGACCAATAGATAAAATCCGATAAATTAGAAGAGTTGAGTAAATTAATATAAAATGGTCCAATTTACTTTCTAGTATTTAAAAATCGCAGTGTGTTTCAACAATTTTCGCAACCTTTTGAATTAGTTTGACTGTACAGACGGAATTTACATACAGCATGTTACTTTATCCTTGATATGAGCATCTGAAGATTGCAGAAATAAAAGTGTTCTGTGGTAGCCACTAATTTTTAGAAATATAGGGGAAGCTGAGTTCAAAACTGAACCTTTACAGCGTAGTTAATGAGTAGCTCACTACATTGGAAATCCAACTATGGGATTACTTACTTCCAGAGCCTCCGGCTTTCAGAATATCAGTGATGGATCATCAAACTACATATCTTCCCACTACGTAAATAAGGAATGTAAAATTTTCCTATAATCAAATTACATATTTGCAGTGGCTTGTCAGCAAAATTAATTTACTGGATTATTAACTTCATCATGACCTCCTACATCAAGAATTCGTTGGTTCACACATTCCTACAATTCTTGATATTCACACAAGCACCATACAAATATACTCACACACAAACCACGAACATACTACTTGCCTGCACGCAATTTTTCAATACTAAGCACATACATCGCACAATTCTATCGCCATTTTGAAACCTTATCGTGGGGATCAGAAAGAAGCAGTAAATATACTGCAAAAGGTATCCGCAGCTAAGTGATTTCCACAATTGTACCATTTTCTGGTAGTGGAATCTTTTAAAGTCAAAAGTCGGCTCAGAGTGAAGAAAAACGACTAGCAAATTGAAACAAGTTTTGAATCAAAAATGCATTAAAGAATAGCCACAGTGAATCACTCATAGCAATGTCGCATAAAGTAGGTGGCAAAAATTTGACAAATGTTAAGAAAATCCCTACATTGACTTGCTGCATATCAAGGAGGGCATAGGCGTGAGTAGGCACAAGACCGCTGCGTTGTTCAATTTCAGGTGTAAGGACACCCGTCGCCACAGTTACGAGGCAGTGGCCTTGATGAAATCGGGTTGCCAGGCGACGAAATTCACGGTCCGCATCAAAATCATCACTTCCGTTAGACTTGATTGAAACCCGTTCAGGAATCCAGCCTGTCAAGGCGTGCAAATCAATGTTCTAACAGAATAAAATTACAAAACAGTGCCGCGTAACTTAATCATAAATATTTTGAGAATTACAAAAATGGCGACATCAACGTTGCTGCATTGTCTCTCCACACGCAGCTTTGCAACTTGGTGCAACTCACTTTGTAAACGGTAACACGAAAATAAGTTTGCCTACGCACGCTGTCTGTGTTTAAGTCTGAGAAGAAAAACAGTAAGCGCTAAGTAGCCATAAAAAGCAACTGCCCAGAGTGAACCTGAAACGCGGATAATTACTGCTAACCTATCTGGTAAAACTGGACTGATATCGTCACCGTGAGCCCATTTAGAGGACTTTTAAAGCAATAATGTATGAAAATGTGTCAAATAAATGGATAGGGTTAACGGGGCCTACCGAGTTCGAGCCAGGAAAATCGTAGCCGCCCATTACTTTCATGTACGCCTTCTCAAGAAGTGAAACCCAAAGTTCGTTCCTGTTGGTCGAAAACGAGCATAGCAATTCGTCGCGTTGGCCCATAGGCAAAAGGTCATCTATTATTACCTAGATTTGCAAAAAGAGTATTGGCTGTGCTCATATGAATCAGAGCGGTACTAGGATGAACTAACATAACTGATCCACCAAGACTAAATCCAAAAACTGCCAAGTTCCTTACTAAGTTAACTAAACTCACATTGAAGGCAGGTTTGTGGGTGAATTGACTAATCGACACTATGCTACCCAGAATAAAAAATGGGGAACCTTGTGATTCCAGAGCAAGAACAAGTAAAACTAAACGTTTGGTCAACAGATGGGGTTAAAATGTTTCAAGTGATTTTTTGAAAAACATGGGAAATTTCTGACTATACTTTTCAAAGGCTATACAACATGCAAATTGAATGAAACAAAAAAATTTAGCACAAAGCAGTCTACTCACCTTCCGAGGAACACCGTTCAAGTGAAGTTTTACCATATACTTTCCGCATGGGTTGTAGACTGGCTCACCGTTTCTTTTTTGTGGGTATATAATACTAGATTGGTGTAAAAATCGTGAAATTGTATTCAGAAAGAAATTGATGCAGGCTATTAAAAAAGAGGAGTCTTCTTAGTATCTGTAATGGTTGGAAAGCTCGATAATGGACTGGTTTGTGGCTGGCATGTAGACTTTGGTTCAACAAAACCAACTTACAAGGAATTTTCAAAAAAATGCGACATACATGAACTAGGTGTGGCTTTACCGCAAGTTAATCTAATTCAACACTCAATGTGACTCAGTAGGAACATAGACGCACGATCCAGTTCCGGTTAGGGCTTACAGGCAAGAAATAACTAGACATAGAAGACTTTTACAAATGCATTTCGCATGCAGCTTACTTGGTAATGAGGCGTTTTTTGAACCTGCGTTCATACTGAGCGGCTACTGCTATTGAGGCGACAAAAGAGCAATCGGTAACACAGGTTTGACGAACGGGAAAGCAGGAAACAGCAATAATCATAGTGGGGTCACTGATATAGTCACTCGGACGGACCCACTTAACAAAATGAGAGCGCTGTTTTTCCGACAGGGCAATTAACCCGTGCTCGTCTCTTAAAATTCAAAAGAATGCCTAATTCAAATAGTGAAAAAGAGAAATGGTAAGATTGCAATGTAATATTTCCCAGTCAACGATGTTGAAAGACTAGCCTAATTTAATAAGTGGTGAAAATAACCGTCATAAAAGCGACACGAAATCATGCAGCCGAAAAAACCAAATCCGGCAGCAGGATCGATATACATCAAAGTATAATATACACTAAGAAATCCTCTTTAATTCGAAGTAGGTTAATGAACAAAATACATACATAGTTACATATATTTTAAAGACTTTAAAAACTCCATATGTAGAATGGTAAATGCAACTTATAACTCACGAAAACGGTTTTGAAAACGCAAATCGTTCGTGGCTGTCTATCTCGTCAAGAAAAGGCAAATAAGCCCTCCCGTTAATGGTCGATGTAATTCGCAAAACCTGAAGCTCATCACTGGTATAATTTCCTTTTCTTTTATGGCTATCTACAGAGAAGCAAAAGAAGTACAATATTTGTAGCAACGTATATGCAAGAACGCTGAAAATGAACGACGTAATTAAAAAGTGAAGTTGGTGGGTTCTCAATGCAAATAGCGTAAGGTGGAATGAATTAAAAGGATAAAATGAAGATGGTCGCGCAACCTTATACACAAATAAAGTTGTTTGGCTTCCCCCAATACCTTTTAAACAAGAGTCAAAATAATCAGCATACCATCGGTTATGAAAACTAATGATATCCTACAATAAATATATCAATGCAGCCAGTGGCACACCAGGTCAGTCTAAATCGATTGTAAAATAAGATGATTTGATGCAACTACACTTGACTAGCAAACTGTTTTAGTCAAAATTAGCTACCGAAACATACGAAGACCTAAACATACCCTGATTTTTTGTAGAATTAGCAACCGGAACATTGCAGGAACGCGCCGAACTGGTGGCATCGCAGGACTTTTTTATAGATTCTGCCCTAAATGAAGAGTGAACAAAATTCAAAATTTTCACCTTTCTAAAGCTTGTGTGGCCAACTGATTAATTTTTTTACGAAACGTTTCCTCAGTGCTTTCATTGCGCTAGGCCTGGTAAAATTGAAAGGCGAGGTTACCACTTTGAGAAGTATTTCTACCGCCTGACTATACAGATTGATGGCATCAGTGATGTTTCCCTGTTCGTCGGCTTCCAGGGCTTCACCAAGTAAGCACTTCGCCCTTTCAACTTCCATCTATGTCAAGTATAATAATTCAAATTCAGTTACGTTTCGCTGATTAACTTCCGTACTTTTCAGTCTGGCTGCATCTTTCAAGCGTCATAACAAAAAAATAAGTACCTCTTTTTTCGACAAGTTTTTCAGCGTATTTTGTGTAGAAACGAGCTTGACTTAATAAATCCATATTTTTCGACCCAGCTGACCTTGCATTCAGAAAGGCTTGAACTGCTTCTGTGTAGTAAAATACAGCAAGCTCATAATTTTGTGAATTTTCATGGTTTTTAGCCTCTTTTAAAAACTCCGCTGCATCATTCTCGAGACTTTTCGGGTCAGCCATTAGCGAAGACGAAGCCCTGATATTTCAACCAAGTTCACAGAGGCTTAAAACCGCTAAAACAAAATGCAATTCAGCGCAAAACCATCAGAGTCAACGCCACCAAAAGGATTTGTCTATAATATCTAAATGAAGGATCTAAAAGAACTTTATGTTGCGGTGTAAGCTCTGCCCATTTCTACGTTACTAAATGTTGCAAATCTTTTGACAATAACAATGCGCAGGATTTTATCAGCATATTTTCAGACTGAACATATTTACCACCATGTACAAGCCATTTCACGCTTTTTCAACACACTTTGTATAAAAGGGAAATCAGTGGACCAAAGCCATTATAAAATGTCGATAAAATCTAGGAAACTTTCATGCTACTTAAAGTATCCAAAAATGAAATGGGTGAGTGTTCAGAATAGCCATTAAAAGTGGAAGCTAAAATATGCCTGACACACGTCAGTTACAAAAATGATGATTGTAACCACTTGTAGATCAAATGAAGACAGCCGCATCTGTAAAAGTGCTTTTTTTATTTAAGTTGGCAAAGGATAAACTGATTTTACTCGTGTTCTTGGTTAATTTGTGCTAACGTGTTATGTAGTCAACCAGAGGCTGACAGGCAGGAGCAGCAGAATATAACGAATGGCGCAGCCAGTGCGGTGGACTCGAAGGGACGGCGCCTGACGTATGGTTCTGGCTTGAGGTTGTTCAACGAACCTTGTTTCTTTGTACCAGATTTCATCATGGTAGGGCTTATGTATCCTAAACAGTTTATCGGGTGCTACTTCCGTTAGTGGTAGTTCCAATTGTCAATGACATTTTCATGCAATTTGATTTTCAATAAGGCTCAGCAACTTGGTAGCAATGTTGAATTCACTGATGAGATTTTCTTAGCTTTTTGAGCTAGCTACCTGATTTCGTTTGTGCGATTTGTAAATTCACAGTTCTAGGGACTCAAGAGCCTTGTAAAAGTATATTTCATTTCTGCGTTTCAATCGATAATTCTAGATACCGATTTAAACACAAGCACACCGTCTGACATTTTCTACGCGGTTAGGTGAGGAATGCAACTCCGGAGCTTGAGTGCACTATTCACCCGCTCACGAATAAATTTTAGGGTTGAATTAACCTGACTTGACTTTAATCCCTGGTAAAGACGTCAGCATTCTTCATGACAATGCTATTCGTGGAACGTAGACTTGTAACACCTCTACTGAAGCCGCATATAATTTCCGCTAGTTATTCTAGCCATTCCACTGAAATGACCATTCCTAGTGTAACGCAAACTATATCGATTTCTCACAGACAGCTTACATCAGCATTAATCTTTCATAATCTGCTCAGTAAGAGGGACTTCAAGCATTCGAAACCTGGTGGATCTGGCAGGTCAATTGGCATTGCATGAGAATGCCAACACTATCCACGCCATGTTTCCCTAACATTTTTGATCAATGGGTGTTAACTGCTTTCAATTCCCTTCCCAAACCTACCCAAACTTGAAATGATTGGTACATGCTAAAGTGAAACTCAGGCTTCCTCTTAGACACTAATTTCATGTGGCGCTTCATTAATCCCTAGCTAATGCATTCAAAACAAACTTGAAAGTTATAAAGGTGGGCGTTTGTCACGCTAATATTTGACATTTGGAGTATCATTGTGGGTTTTTCATAGAACATTTCGGTTGTGTTTTTGGGTTTTCAAGATTGTGTTGATACTTTCGCGGATTCATTCGCTTTGTACCGTTCGTTAATTGCCGCAAACAGTTTACTCAATCTTATTTAAACTAACCACTTGCCTTGAAATGGATATGAATGTTAACAGTGCGTCTAACATCCCTGTCAAATAGAATGAGCCTCGTTCATGTGTAGGAAAAAACACGGAAGCTATCACAGCGACTATTAGGGTACTGCATGACGCTTTAGCGTTCTCGCGTTTGGATTCATAACTATCTTTCACTGATTTATTTGGCTGGCAGATTAAATGAATGCAGGGAATGAGCCACCAGGTGCTCAAGTGTAGTCGTTTATTTTATGGAGTTTATTTCCGGATATTGGAAAAGCAGTAAACCAATATCACTCTTGTGAAAAATTCTTTGTGGACATACAAATTAGAAGTAGGATGGCAAAAATGTGCACATTAGGCAGGACTGTTTTGGATGATCTTGACGAGCATCAAACTGGTGAGCATTGCCCCCTAAATTCCCATAGACTATCCTCGCATTACCCTTTCCTTCAATTAAGTTAAATTTGCGGCCTTCACGTAAACTAATCACACTTCCCGCATTCTAAACGCTTTCCACAAACTTAATCGACGATTACTCTTCATTGAAACCACACACCATGTCCTGATCGACAATGCAGGCTGCATTTAAGCACTCAATGAAGTGAATAATCTCGACGGAAAACTGACTCAAATGGTTTCTCTCAGACCCTTGGCTGGTTTGCATGTTGCATTTTTTCTACGGTATTTCGGACGAATTCCCATCCAATGCCAGACCCACTTTGACCTGAGATGGTGCCCGAATAAGAAACATTAGGGGGCTCACGAGTTTTCATGCATTGAAATCTAGAGTTTACCTTCCTACAAAAGCATTACTGACGTCCTAAATACACTGCAAATGTGGGGGGTTCAGGGCACTATTAATGCTTCTGGGAGTTACCAACATGCACTGTGAGGAAAGACTACCAAGCATGAGATCCGATATCAACAAAATGCTAGGGTAAGCAAGTCCATCAGCAACCCTAACAGAGATGTGGATTTCGAATATTCGAAATAGCCAGAAATGTTCATTCCGGTTATGCAATTTTCAAATCAGGCCTTTTGAACGGTTTCGCCGTTACATACCGAAGGCAAATATCAGGCCTTTAGAAAGCCTGCGAAGCAATTAAACGCAATGGAACACCTCAAGTCAGAAAACACAGGTGGTCATCAGGGAAGTGATCAAACAAGTTGATGTCCTTTTGTAAGAGGTGGGATTAGGCAACTGACATGGCCATTGAAGTCGATCAACTTAGCAGATGGCATCGGCAAAGATCAGTGAATCCTGAGTTTGCACAAAACTCACGCAAATCCAAAAATGGCTTAAGACTTAAGTGGGAAACTACCGTTACTCCCACCTCTGCAATCTAGTTAGCATTAACTGAAGCATATTAACGATTAACCATAAGTGAAAGCATGATGACATTGTTATCGTCAACGTAGTGATGTCCCCGCGACCTGATATCGAGGCGCCAAATTTTGGTGTAGAATTGGGGGGTGGGGGCGTGCCTGCCCCAAGCGCATCACTAAGTGGCCGACGACGACGACTAAGGCTGACCCGTTTCTTGTTTTCCAAGTTCTCCCCAGCATGTCTAAAGTGTAACACAATGTCAAATTTTTTGGAAACACCCGATTGAATTTTCTCACAGGCCCGCTAAAACGTATCTCCTAGAAATTTTAGTATCAGACCGACATAGCGCTAGTGTATTCAACGTCAGTTAGAGAAAAAACCAAATAAAATATTTCGAAGCAAATATGAAGCAGAAATTTAAATGAGCGAGTAAATACATATATGGCTGTGGGTATGATATCACAAAGGTTACAAAATATTCGAAGGAATCAGTTTGATAAATAATCTGAACAAATGAAAGATTGAACGCGACATCGCAGAAAACAATGATCGAAAAAGGGGGAGGATGGCTGTACATGAGCTTATGCCTAGCTCGGTAGAACAGTTTCGGTATCTTTCGAGTCGGGTAAGTCGAAAAAAACGGATCGCCGGAAGGGAGAAACGTCAGGTGGAGCCGATGATGGATCCGGAGCTTTCTGAAGTACTGCAGAGCTCATTGGGCCAGTGGCTGGAACCGAAAGGTGATTCTGATCCATTAATTCCATAAAGTGTGCGGCGTAACCCTCCCGAATCGGCTATTTGGCAGAGATACAAAATTAAACGAGCAACATTGCTTTGTTTGAAAACTCAATACAGGAAAATATAAAAATTAATAAAAACGACAAAAAAACGCCTCAGAAGCAGATGTATTGCTTTTATACGATGGTCAATCCATCAAAAGCCTTTTACAATGAACAAAAAATTTCTTTTATATATTTAGAAGCAATTGGACAAGTCCTCAAAAATTTTGCTATTTATAAAACTTATAAAGAGCTTTATAAAGCAGCAAGTCTATGTAAATTAGACACAACTCTATGGCGCATTTCAAATAAACACTTGATGGAAGTTAAACGGGTGCGAAAAAATTCTCGGCATTTAGAATTGATCAAATTTGCGAGGGAGTTAAATGCCCTCTGTGACTCTGCCACTAGGACAAAAAGAACTAAATTAGCTCCAATGGGCAAAACCGATACTAGAAAAGGTTCAGAGTATAGCATTTTGTCTCAAAACTCCTGATAGAACAATGCTAATCCTTGGGTACAAAAAGCTTCGGTGGCTTGAAAACACATCCGTTTCAATCAAATATGTGATTACGCGGACCGCAAATTCTGATTCCCACCATAAACTACATACCGTAGCTTCCTGAGCTTGGCGACGCGAAAGCTTCCCAACAGCAAATATTTGATGTGCTTGAAGACCCAATGACCGGTAAATTGGCACATCTTTCGCTGATCCATAGGCGCAGTGTACAGAGAGTTGGTTCTAAATAAGTAAAAACTAGAACGTAACAAGATCCACTCAACTAACAGAGAAAATAACCGACTTTATCCATGATAAGGCGACAACATGAACCCACGATTTGCTAAAACATCCTTCATTTTATCTTTGCCTGTTTATAAGAGAGTATAAAGGAGTGTTGACAGGTGAATCAATTCTGGAGATCATTGCAAAACAGGTACAGCTGCATAGAGGAATATAAGTCCAGACTTAACCATCAATTTCAGATGGGAACGTGGAAGAATCAGGAAATACATAGTTCATTTGGCCAAATGGGAACACAAGCTGAAGATGCAAACACTAGAAGGTTATGGCAAATTTTCAAACCCATTTATTTAGAATGCCACGGACCACGGTGACGGGCATGGTGAAAACAAAGTTGTGCCTACGAAAACATTATACTTAACAACTGATTATTCAGCATTTTGTCACTGAACAAAATGACTGAAGAAATTAAAATCGCAAACGCTAAAGTACTCCGTTTGAGAGCGCAGCAGCCACACCAAGACTGAAATATCACAAGATGACGTAACTGGAACAATCTCAAGTGGAAAGTGTAATAGTCGTGATCCTTGAAATCGCTTCCAATAATATCCCTCATTGAGCACAATTCACGTCTTGGATGCATGATGCATAAATATGGTCACCGTGTTAAACCGTGTGATGAATTGGATTGCATTGAAAGTAAAACACGAGTCCAAAGTAACGCACCTGCTCAATGAGGGATTTGAGCAAAACAGCCTTTTGTCGGAGGGGATCAGTGAAAAGCCCATCAAGGAAGAAGGTGAGGCCGGGAGGAAAGTTGTGTTGGTTGAGCCACATAGAGACCTGTCGATGTTGCATATCCGGGCGGGCAGACATATAGATGAGAAGGTACCCCAGACTATGCCAATGTCTCATTATATCTACACTTCCAGCACGTACCTTGGGGTCCTACATTGAATGAAAGTTTATTTACGTATAAAGGTACAGTGACACGGCAACCATTGATGCCCTCACAGCTCTTTTTAGTAGTGTATGAATAAACATACGGGGTGCGGAATCCACTTTTGGTAACAGGTATAAAAAGTATCTTAACAACCGCATAAGAGGAACATGTCAACCTCAGATATATCGATGACGCAAAAAACCTCGACTGTGGCACCAATCTACATGCGAAAATCCAAATTGTCGGAATCAATTAACCAACAACCTCGCTGGAATTCCAAGCTTTACCACAAGAACCAAAACGATCGATGAAGCTTATCGTCAAGTGGATACTAGGACCACATAGATTCCTGAGTTCACACTGTGCGGAAGTTTGGAATATACCAAGCCATATTAAGATATGCAAAAATTTGTTTACATGTAGTGCGCGTAGTATGAATAATCCACAATTGAGCAGCCATAGAGATATACACCTAATGGAAAAAAGCAACTACAGGTTGCAGTGAATCGTACTAAACATGAACGCTCAGGTGACTAATCACGAAAACTGTCAAAACGTCAAAATACCGTGCCGGAAAACAGTACAGACGTGAACAAAGAATGGCAGTGATAGATGACTCAGAAGAAAACAAAATCAAAAGCAACAAGGTGTGCCAATTCTCATCAAGCGAATAAGAAAACATACCCTTTGACGATAAAACTGCAGTGTAAAGGATGACATTTGTGATAAAATTTATTTAATCACAGTAGATTAGGATTATCTAGGCGCTAAAAAAACAAAACAGACCTAAATTTGCATGTTACCAAAACATAAGACCGTTACCTTAATGTAAACTTCTAGGGTTGCGCATTTAAGCCCATACCCACTACGGACCTACGTAGGGTCACAAAAGGATACTTGTAGAATGCAAAAAGTACCCACCTTGCCCATTAACGAGAGGCTTGCAGCAAATGAGCCATCAATGCTGCAGATTACCACGTCGCAGCCAGGAGGTACGATGGCCATGGTAAGCCCCACGGTCTGTTCATCCGGGTCACCGGAGGATGGAACTAATTGTATACGATGCAGACCGATAGGAAGACGATGAGCATCTGGAATTTGAAAAGCAAGACGCCCGTTGGAGTCGGTGCACTGTCTGCCGAGACTCTTCCAGTTCTGTGGCTTGTCACAATTGACCATTTGGGGTCTGCAGAGGACTTCAATCTTTAAAAAGGATTAAGAGGTAGAGGCACTTCTACACAATCATCGTACATAGATCAAGATGTGTAATCGTCCGAATTTCAACAGTAGCGGCGATATTGTAATAAACCCCCTATTTGAGAACTGACTGCACATTTGGATCTGTTTTAAATTTTTGCATACCTTGAGGATGGGAATGCTGGAACAATCAAATTGAATTCGTTCGCACAGAACGAAGGTTTGGTACTAGGAGAAACCATACTTGTTTCTCGGTGTAAAAACCATCAACATCGAATTCTGAGGGTCTGCAACTAAATACTAGTCTCATAAACGATGGCACAGCTCTAAAAGGCTTGCTCTGTTACATGAAAAAAAGTCATGAAATCATTTCTGAGATTTCTATACAGAAATATGAACACGATGATGAAGTAAAAAGCCAGAAACATGGCTGCAAATTTCAACACTGTTCAAAACAAATTAACGATTCTGTGATTTAGGTTTTGTGCGACGACTGGCTCACAACCTTGGGAAACTAATTTTGGAAAAAAAATACCCTTTTCTACAAAGACTTGTGGGTTGTGGAACACACTTACGAAGACTAGTTCTATCATCCGATTTTTAGCAAACAGTCAACTGCTGATGGAACTCAAGCACAGGAAATTGCATTGGAATACGATGACTCGTGGGCAAATCAATCAAGGTTACTGTTTTTTGGTGCGATACACATACAAGGAGATCAGTAATGGTAAAATTCTTCCAGTGAGTTACACTGAATAACATGTTCCTGTACCTGGAGGCGGTAAAATTGTATATTATCTGAGATCTGATTTTTTTCCTACTCGTAACCATTCAAGCGTCAGCAATGCATGGGTTATAAGAATATTCACTACAGATGACTCGGAAAACTCATCTAGTGAAGTCGACCACAAGTAGTGTACCTCTTCGTTTGCCATGGACAAGAGATCGAGGGTACCGAAAGTGAAACGAGCAGCAATGATTTGGGGTCGACCGTCCAACACAATGGCGTCGTTGGCCCGGTGGTTAGGGTTGCTTGTCTGCAAAATTATTGAAAAAAAGTTTCACAATTATTCCTCGGACTCTAGCAAACAGGCGAACTCAGTGAGGAGGGTGGAAGCGCAACAAGAAAAAACCCAAAAGCAACTAGAAAATAAGATTTTAAGAAAGCTTGCGTATTGGAATCAAGGTCGTCGTATTTGCCTGCCTAAGGATGAAGCTAAATTCAACTGCATTAGTATGCCTATAAAATCAAAAACCGATTTTACTAGAATGGTAATATTGTTTAAAAATCAGAAATCTGTTAAGCCAAAACCTAAGTGTTCCTAAAATTTCCCGATTCACTCTCTTAATTGACTGGTCCTAATTACTACAAACATTACAAATAATATCCCTGAAACAAATGGCAGCAGTCATATTTAACCAATAGCCACTAATTTGTGGGGATTTAGGTATACTTAACCACAAAAAAACCTGTTGAACAATATAAATCGATGCAACCAAATCGTGAATATAAGTTTCGCACTATTATGCACTTTCGAATAAACATGAGTCTTACAATTCACCAGCGCTTTTTTTTGAAAATAAGCCAAATCGTCTTTAAGATGTGAGAATGACACGCCAAACAACCGAATACAAAGCGTACTCACCGTCCAAAGGTGACATCCCATACCTTCTTGTGTTATCCATTTAAGCAACTTGATATGGATTTTAGCCTATGTTTGAGGCTCCAGTTGAACAATAATATGACAAGGAAAAAAATAATGCAAATATCTTGAGATGAGTTAACTCTATAATTAAGGTACGGATATTAGTAGGATCTGTATTTTGTCGCCAATACATTGCCGCAAAACCATGTTAGTCTTAGTAAAAGCAGAATTTGGTGGAAAAAAAAACACTGGCAGTGCTTAATAGTAGAGTACCTCAACCGAAATTAAAACAATTCACAACATGGTGTCACAATGGATAAAACACGAGGGCACCATCGTACAACCTAAGGAAAACCTCAAGGAGACCGACTCAAGTTGACAAATCTCATTCTCTACTCCTCACAATGACGTATCGCAGTTCAGTAGTAGTCACCTGAATGTGGTGCGTCAAGAGTTACCCGACGAGAAATACGCGATTCCTGCATTAACAACTGGACACACGTGTTACATTTTAAAATCGGGTATGAGTGAAAGGCGTTGCCAGTTAAAGCTCAACCTATAGATAGACAGGAATCTAGCATAGCATAAAGATAACTTGCGTGTAGGCTGAATTCGATAAAAAATCAATCCACACGAAAAACCTTTTCTATGGATTACAATTCACCAAAGACGACAACAAGCACACAATAACCACTCCACATACGAACATTTTCAAAGTATTTTGGCAGTGCATTAGCAGATACATATAAACTTACCATCGAGTAGGGAAGGCAGGAAGCCTAAAGAATAATTGCATACTTCGGAAGTTACAGTCACGATAAAAAACCGAGTCCACAATTTAAGATGATTAGGAAAGAAGTTATTTAATAATGGGATGGGGCAACACCACAAAGCCTCTAATAATTGACATGGTGTTAATAAATTGTACAAAAAAT